CAATCTTCTAACTCGATTGATGCAATGTATGAGAATGGAAAAATGCCACTTGTTGAGAGGGAGTAGGAGAGAAGAATATTATTTTTTGTGTTTGTTGAGTCACAAATGCCTTTGGCTATATAGACCCAATGACACCTTATGAGTAAAGGCATTGAACAAAGAAAAGGCACCTATGAAAGATTACCAAATTTCAAATCAAAAGACACTTAGGAGGCGTTTGATAAATCTGAAATTTCAGATCTAAAAAGTTAAAAAGGTATTTTTTGTGCCTCAAATCTGAAAAGAAGCATAGGTGCTTTTCTATTTTTTAGAGGCTTTGAATCCATAAGTTTGTTTGTGTTGGATCAACCATTTACCATCTGAAATTTACTAACTTTACTATTTTACCCCTACAACATACTATTGGAAGTATTGAGTTAAATTTGCATTATCTCATAAAAATATTTTTCAACCTCAAAATAATATTGAAACAATACAAATAAAATTAATAAATAATAAATGAAATGGTTAAAATTAAAAAATAATTAATGACTATAAAAGTATTAAAATAATTAATAATTTATACAAATAAAAATTAATAAAATAATAAAAAATTACTAATTAATAAAAAATAAATAATATTTAATAAATAACATAAGTAAAATTAATAAAAATAATTAATGTTTAATAAGAAATATTAAAATAATTAATAATTAGTAAAATAATTTATAATTATTATTATTTTAACATTATTACTCACCCAACCGCCGCTGCTGCAAGTTGCAGTGGTAGTGGTGGTGGTGGGAAGACAGGGGAGCGAGAGAGAGAACCACCGCTACAAACCCCCATCTCCATCCTCCCTATCTTTCTCTCTTCTTTCTTCTTTCCTCTGTATTCTTTTTCTTTCTTTCTTCTTCATCTTCTTAGATTCACCGGAATACACTGCTTGACATTGTGCACTCACCCCTTCCTCTTAACAGTGGCGACAAACCAATAGTAGGTCTCTGCCCGTTCTCTTTCTCTCTTTACCTCTCTTTCCTCTTCTTCTTCCTCCCAGCATTTTCCTCCTTCTCTTCTCTTGTTTTTCAATTGCAGCGGCGGATTCGAACTCGACAACAACTACCCGTCTTCTCCAGGCCATTTCTCCATTCCTTTCTCACTGACATCTCTCTCCAACTCTTTCTTCCTTATCTTCTCCTCCTTCTTCCTTAACAGTTCGCCCTCCTCAATCTCGTTGCGGCAGTTCTCCACCCGTCCCTCTCTTCCACTCTCTCCCTCTTCCGTTTGCCCATCAGATCTCTCTCTCTCCCTTCCACCTCTCTCTTCTCCCTATCTTCGTTCACTTGTCAGATTCCGCTGCAGTTGTAGTGCCCCAAAGTAGGTCGCAAACCCCTTGTTCTCCATCTTCTCTGCCAACTAGGTAGACCCGAACAACAACGACCGTCTGTCGGAACTCATTTCTCAATTTTAAACCGGAATCCCATCAGAAGGCCGGCATCCAACATGGGGCATCCTCTTTTCAGTTCAGGTGTCGAGACTTGCACAAGAATCTTCTCATCGGTGGCGGGAAGTGGGAAGATAGGGAGAGAGAGAATCGCTGCTGCAAGTTGCAGTGGCAGTGGCAGGAAGACAAGGGGAGAGAGCGAAAGAGAGAGAGAGAGAGAGAGAGAGGCGATCTTCCTCCCTGAGAAAACACGAAAATGAATAGTTTTTTTTGGGTTTCGGGTTATCAAGGGTAGCACGTGTCATTTCTAAAAAACTAGAAGGGTAGATTCGACTATGCATCGGCTTTGAAATGCGTCTAAGTGCGTTAAGAGCCGACCCAAGGTATATAGTTTACAGATCTAAAAATAAGATTTAAATCATGTTTAAGAAAAGAAACCAAACAAGTGTGAGGATCTGAAAAACAACATTTTCAGATTCAGACCTCTGAAAAGTGCAATCAAACGCCTCCTAATTAACAGAGAAAAGGCTCCAAATGAAGAGTTGCTATGAAAAGTCACTAATAAAAGACATGTTTAAAAGACACATTTAAATGAAGAGACACTTAAATTAAAAGGTCACTAGTTTAAATTAAAAGACACATTTAAAGAAACTTTAAATGATGGAAAGTCACTTAGATTAGAAAAAGAGACTTGGTGATGAAAGGTCACTCAAAATTTAAATTTAAATTAAAAAATTATTTAAAAGAATTTTTGGATAAAGTACACGTGTTAGAATTTGTAAGCATGTAAAAAAATAAAAAAAAATACCCCTATAAAATTTTGAATCACATACATTAGAAATGCAACACGTGTGCTTATCTACGTTTCGAGTATGATGGGCTTTCAAATGAGGGAACATGTTAGAGAACAAATATTAAGGAACCTGATCACTTAAGTTGTTAGAGAACAAATTTTAAGTTGAACAGTTCTTTAAGAATACATAAGGTACTGAAAACATCAACCCATGCTAGTAAAATGTCACAACAGAATTTAATTTGAGTAAGATATATCAGCCCAAACACAGCAAGAGGTTGGTTGTGGGCCGAGTCAATAAATGGCAAACAAATATAGATTTGAAAGTTGAAACCATATGACATGGAGATTAAGTGCATTTAATATGACTTAGACAATTTAACACGTTCACTTTCAGTATGGAATCCTCAAATTTCAAGCATTTAAGGGTCTATTTCAGAAACCTTTACTTTGTTGCTTTTTAATTAGTTTAGGTTTCAGCGAAACAAGCCCAAATTTCAGAGAAAAGGATATATATCAGTGAAATCGTCAACATCATGATGAAATAATCTGAAAAATAGTAAGTTCAATTAGACTTTAAACTTGTAAAACACTCCTTATAGTTTACAACCTATTTACCAAATCGATCTTTTATTAAGAAGTGTTTGTTTGCCATCTGAAAATAATAGCAACATAATTACCTAAACTGAGTGGAACAAAAAGGATTGGTGCCCCTAACACTTCTTGGTACAGAAAATAAAATTGATTAAAAAGAGCCAAATAGAGCGGTTGCGCATGTTTTATTAGGGTAAAATTGATATTTTCTTTTTTACTTTCTCTCAATTAAATTTATTTGAATGGATATTTTCATCTATATATATAGGATCATTTTGCATTATTGTTCGATGTGTGAACATTCTGCTGCATCAATTATTGGAAGCTCTTGGTGTGGCCATAGCTCATGCAAAAAGAAGAGTGATGATTACCAAGGGGATGTTCTACAACATGAATGTTTTTGTTTTCATTTGTTTTTGGAATCACCACATCAGCAAAAAGGGGCTAATTCTCTGGCTAACCAAATTAATGTTTGCAATATGGAGACTAGTTCTAAAGTCATGTTGAGAGATGATAAACTAGGCATTCCTTATTGGCTTGACATCAAGATTTTTTGAGATGTAATGGGTTGGGCTGAGGTTATAAGGGAGACGTTTGTATGTATGGAGGCAGGCTATCTCCTCTCCTGTAATTTTCTTTTTTTTTCTCTTTTGATAATAATCAATAAAAATTCAAGGTGGCTGTCCCTCCACCTGGAAGTTTGGGGTTAAAAAAAAATTAAAAATTAGAGTCAAGATTTTAAAAAGGCTAAAGGCAGAGATGAGGTGGTTGGATGTCAAAGAGGCTAAGTGTAAGTATAAATATAATTTTTAAGTTTTTATTACATATAAATATGTATGTATGTATGTATATCGACACAATTTTTTTCTTTTTATAGCTAATTTATATATTTTTTATTACATATATATTCTTTTTAACATGAACCTTATATTTTTTTAATTTTTATTTTCTATTTTGTTTTATGTTTATAACCTTCTCTATTAAATTAAATAATCCATACATCCAAAGTAAAATTATTTGTAATATTTTATACATTTAAGGATACAATTTATTTATTTTTGTATCAATTTTTATGTTTATATATACATATTTATTTATTTTAATATTAATCATATGTTTCTGGAATTTTGTTTTTTACTTTTTTCATAATTATAACCTTATTTACCAAAATAAAATAAGCCATTTATTTAATATACATAGATAAAGATTAGATATATTTTTTAATTTCTTTATACATTTTCAGATACAACTTATCTCTTTCATAGTTATGTTAATTTGTATATTTACTTTCTATTAAATTATATTCTTTTTAATATGAAACATTTTAAAATTTTATGTTACATTTCTAAAATTTTTACCTAAATAAAATAATATCTTTGCTTAATTTATAAATGATGAAGAATTAGGGGTTTGTGTCGATCGAATATGAAGGGATCATTATTTGGTGCAATGGTAAAATCTGAGGGATCGGAGGCTAATATAAAATGAATTAAATTAAGGGAAACAGTTGGTCAAAAAGAATAAAGATATTATATTAACAATTTTAATTGTATTCTAATTTGAATTGGGCTGATTCAGCCTTTCTTTTATTGTGTATGGCATCAAAAAGAGAGTCAGTCTTGTACAAAAATCCAAAATCTACGATTTGTTTTGATTCTGATGAGAGAGTAAATTTACTATCAGAATAGAATAAAATGGTTTGTATTTGATAGATAGAAAAAAAAAATTGCAAAACAACCCACGAGGATTATTTAAAAAAATGGAGCTTGATTAAGTAATCCTTCTGAATTGTTTTGCAGATTTTTTCTTTTCTATCATCATAACCCATAGATGTTAATTAGCATACTCATGATGCACATACATGTGTTTTTTGTGCTTTTTGCTTTTTACTTCATTTTTCTCCATTTTTTAATGCCAACAATATTCATAAATACAAGTTCAGAAAAATATTTGTCTTTTTAATCTAAATAAAGCTTTATATTTCAAGCAGTGAATGAATTCCATGTTCATACCCCCCCCCCCCCACAAAAAAAAAAAAAAAGAAAGAAAAAAAAAACATTCAATGCTGCATAGATGACCATGATGTAAGGGACCCTAGAGCCTGGAAGCCTTCTGACCAAGTCATAAGCGACAAAGTAGGACTATTTGAATTGAGTAGATTGGGTTCAAGTTCAAAGAATCATAAAGAAATAAAAGATTAGAAGAAACACTTTCCATTATTGATATGTCTAGAGCTTTGGGTCTAACAGCAAAATTAATTTATTTACCCAAAAAGAAAACTCAAAATCAGAAGCTAACATGAATTTAGGTAATGGAGATTTGAAGGGCTGCTTTGTTTTTTAGGGTTACAGAGAAGCAAAGCAATCAATATGTTAGTTTATTTTTATGTATGCAAGCTATACACAAGTTTCCGAAGTCAATTTTTCCTTTTCCCCCTAATTGGGCCTTGAGTGCCTTTTCGTTTCCTGGACGACCAAACTCTGTTTTCGTCAATGAGTCGAGCTTTTGAACAGAATTGTCCCCGTGAAACTCCTTTACTCTTTGCTTGCTAATGGTCAGATACCGGATACCAAGAACTACAAAAACTGTGTGATCAGAATTCTGGCAACTCTGGTAGCTCTCCTGCTTTTATAAAGAGGTTATACCAAAAATCCATGCCGTCGTCCATGTTCCAACCGTAAGCATAGACGGGTTCTGATGGGAATTGTAATTGTTGGTCGGTTATTGTTGCCGGATAATCATCGGACGTGCCGGAATTGTCTGCTGACAATGCTTCAAACCAGAAGCTTTCGTCGATTTCAGGGATAGTTTCCCAAGAGCAAGAGTCGACGTTTTCTTCCTTGATGCCCGTGTTCTGGTTCTCGCCCGTGACAACCGAAGATTCTGTAACCGAGGAGATGTCACTGGAGGATTGTTGTGGGGATACCGGCGGACAGGTCGGGCTCTCGAATCTTGGATTTGTTGGAAAGTTCACGAGATATGATTCTTCCAATTTGCAGGTATCAAATTCAGATATTTCAGTGGACTGCCGCTTGGTGTTCAGGGCGGGTTGATATTGTTTGAGCCTCTTCTTTAGGTGGGTGTGCCAGACATTTTTTATTTCATTGTCTGTTCTTCCCGGTAATCTTGCTGCGATTGTTGACCACCTGAAGATTAAATAAAGAAGATTATATAAGAAATTTGTACTAGTTTAAGGAAGAATCTTGTTTGATATTACTGTAATAACTACAATAAACCGTGTTTGTTCTTTATTAGTTCAGGTAACAATACCTCTCTCTCTCTCTCTCTCTGAAATGAGTAGAAAGAACAATAGCACATGCATGTTTGGACGTATGCATGTGGTTATCATCAATAGTTACAATACTAATTACAAACATACTCCAACTTGTTTTATAAAACTTACTGCACTTGAGAGAGAGAGAGAGAGGTTTCTTGGTATTGACAATTTAATCTTTTCTTTCGGGGTTGTTCAAGGCTTCAAAATATGTAAAGTTTCTTGATATCGACAACCCAGTTTTTTTCCTCTCTCTCTCTCTCTCTCTCTCTCATGGTCGTCCAAATTGTAAATTGTGATCACTCCATGGTATGTTTCATGTCTAATTAATGTTCAGAGATATAAGAAATGAATTTGAAGGAATCTGATCAATGAATACACACCTGTTACCAAGCTTTTCATGAAGCTCAATGATAGTTTCCTCTTCCTCTTTGCTGAAGTTTCCTCGCTTTATGTCCGGTCGCAAGTAATTTGTCCATCGAAGTCTGCAACTTTTCCCACACCTTAACAGACCTGGAGGAAGAAAAAAAAAAGGAGAATTAAATAAAACGCAATAAACGATTTTCTTCAAAAAAATGATGAAAGGAAAAAAAAAAAAAAAACTTTTTTTCTCTGAATTCTAAAATCTTTGAAAAATGAACCAGAGGCTCAATAACAATTGATAACAGAGAAAACCCAATTGTTTCATGAATTCCTCATTCACATAACCAAAATTAAGCATTTTATTGGTTCAACTATTCTATACAACTGCTTCCCTACTTTCCATTTCATGGTGTTCGATCGGAGGGAAAGAATAGAAAATTAAAGGCACCCAGTAAGGAACTTGCAATTACCAGCTTGTTTGGGAAGCGCCCTCCAGTTTCCATGTCCATACTGTTGAATATAATTGATGAGAATCCTATCTTCTTCAGGAGTCCAAGGCCCCTTCTTCAATCCCATCTTCTCACAGCAAGGAGCCCTCACCATCTTTGATCTCAGACTGAGACACCCTTTTCTCTCTTGTGGTTCTTATCTACCTGTGTCTCTCTCTCTCTTTCTCTCTCAATGAGACCTCAGAGAGCTCAGACGTCTTGAAGCCCACGAGTGTATTTATACTACCAGACCCTAAAACCAAAACGTGCAAGGTCCAGGAGCAGCTTGCCATTTCAAAGAGGCAAGGTCGCAATTTCTACGAAATGGGGGTCCCTCATCACTTTATTCAATAATTGTTTATAAAATAAGTATGGGGCATTAGAGATCAATTTTTCTTTAACCATCTTTTTTTCAGCTTTGACAGAAAACAACAAAGATGAGGGCCCCTAACAAATTTAGGGTTTTTTTGGGTAAAAAACAAATGAAAGGTTAGCTAACGATGATATATAAGGCCACATCTTTCCTACGTTCACATGAAAACTTTCGGGTGGTTTAAATTCAAGCATTCTGAGATGGCGCTGGGCAGGGAGTGAGAGAATGATATAGATAGATGATAGAGAGAGAGAGAGAGAGAGAGAGAGAGAGAGAGAGAGATGAGATGAGAGATGAGAATAGGAAAACGGAAAAGCAAAGGAAAAGAGTTCACATTCATACATGTAAAATTGTCTCCATAGCTAGGAAAGAGAAGGGGGGAGAGGGTCAAAGAAAGACGCTTATGAAGAGAAAAAAAAAAAAAAAAGATATAAGCCAAGCACATTGTTGCGTTACTTTGATCAAGTCAGATCAATAATGATTTATAGTATTGTGATCGTCAAACCCAACTGACTTTGGCTTTATGAAAATGAAAAAAAAAAGAAAAAATAAAAAATAACAACTTTGGTCAAACAATCTTATTCTATAGTTTGCCACCTAGCTGTTCTATATTATTGACAGAGACGTAGATGTGGCACACTCTATATCCCACTCATGCAATAAACGTCTTAATTTGAAAATGATTTGGCAACCTGTAATTGTATTTTTATCCTGAAGGATTGAGAAGGGAAGGATCTCTGTCTATTAAGACTACTTACTAGTTTGAATTATATGCAGAAAGGTATAGTATTAATTCCAGTTTGAATCCATTGAACAGTTCAAGTGAACATATATTAAAGTGTAGAAGGTTGGATTGGCAATGTCACAGTTGAACTTAATGGAGGCAATGCAAATAGATGTCTAAACGATCATGACTAATTAAAGCTTTTGACTGAAGGAAAAGAATTGAATGATTCAACCAATAAAGGTTGTAGGGTTTGGTGATGTGTCTATACCTTTTTTGGGATGAGCCATTGCGAACCAGTTAAATTTTAATTTTTCAGATATGAAGCGGTCAGTATGAAATGCTGAAAAAAATGAACAAATAATAATAAGAAAAATCCCTTATATGTTTATGAATTCTTTGCAACTTTTGTTAAGAACGTACTTAATTAGTAGATATTATTAGTCAAATTGGTGTCTTTGAATAATCAGAGATAGTTTGATCCCTGTTGTATATAGCCAGCTTACTGGGTATACCTAGACTGTAGATTCAGTCCCAGATCGCCGCGTTTTGAAATTACGTCTGAAGCTTGCCATGGTCGAAAGTCGAAACCTTCTTTATTCTCTCTGTTGAAAGTTCAGAACAAATGACTGAGCCAGATTTTTCTATTTTTATGGTCGCGACGAAGCACATCTCCATGCTTGTGCATGTGCAACTAGTGTCTTGTTGTTTTGTGGGTAGTATGCACATGGCTTTTAAAACCGACCCGGTGACCGAACCAGTCAGGGGTCCGGTTACCAAGTCGAATGGTCCGACCGTTCGAACCGAATGCTCAGCCCGTTCTGACAAAAAATAAAAATAAATAAAAAACGGTCAAAACTATTCAAACAGTTAACTGCCCGGTTCAGCAATTCGCTGACCAAAATCAATGGTTTTGGGGGGAAATCCGATTTTTGGGAAAAGCAGAACCAGTCACCTGACCGGTTCCTGGTTTTTCCGGTCCGACCATCCGATTCGGTCCGGTTTTGAAAACCATGAGTGTGCAACTATGAATTCAATCTGCTAATCATAATACATTGTTGGCCGCATCCATCCAATCGTACATTATCACGAACATCAGTGTATTTTACATCACTGATATTCCCGGCCTACAACTGGGTGTAGGGGTGTAAATGGATCGAATTTGATTTGGATCAAGTAATATCCAAATTTGAATCCAATTAAAATATTTGATATCCGACAGATATTGAAAATTAATATTGGAATTCAAATTCGATTAAATATTTGAATATTTGATTCGATTCGAATTCAACTAATTAATTATTTTAAGTAATTAATAAATCTATAAAATAAATATTTTATTTATATAAAGTATATAAATTATTTATATAATTTAACTATTATATATATATATTATATAAAACATTTAAATATTTTATATATTATATATAAGACTTAAATAATTAGTCAAATTTGGACATTTATCGAATCAAATCATGTCATATCAAATTCAAATCCGATTAGCTATTCAGTTGAAGAGGATATCCAAATTTGACTGATTAAATATTTGAATTATCCAAATTCGAATTATTATGTTGAATCTCGAATTCAAAATCAGATTTTCAAATACCGTTGACACCCCTAGCTGGGTGAGCATGACCAGCAATGTGTTGTGTAAGGGTGGATTTGAGCCGAGCCGAGCCAAATATTTCACTATTCAAGCTCAGCTCTCCACTAAAACATCAGGTTCGAGCTAGAGACTTGAGCTCGAATTCGGCTTGAGATCAATTGTGAGCCAAACATTTTATTAAAAAAATATACATATAAAAATTATTTTTTATTTGTCATATAAAAAATTAAGAATTATTAAAAATAGTTATTATTATATATAAAAAATAAAAATATTATATATATAATATTTTTATTACATATATTTTTTTATATTTATTATTATTGTACATATATATTATATATATTTTATTATTTACATATATATATATATATATATATATATTTTATTATTTTCATATATATATATATATATATATATATATAAGCTCGACTAAGCTCACGAGCCTCATGAGCTAAGCTTTTTTGGGCTCGAGCTTGGCTTGATTAGCAAACGAGCCTATATATTAGGCTTGAGCTCAACTCGAACAGCTCATCAATGATCCTAATGTTGTGGTCAGCAAATCCGGACTCTAATGGGTCGAGTCTGGTTCAGGATAGGGTGAATCAGTCTTAAATGATCCTAACTATATAAAATAGACCCAGAACCAAATCAATTAATTGAGGTAACTGGATTTGATGCGAATAAACCTGACTATATTTGACATCTTTTATATATAATTGAGGTAACTAGATTCGATGGTTCAACCATCTGGTTCGAACGAATGGCCCATTCTAACAACAAAATTTACAAGCAAAAAATTATGAAACCGTTCTAGCCACCGGTTTTTGGGTCAACAGTTCGACCATCTAGTTTGAACGGACGACCCATTTTAACAACAAAAATTACAGGGAAAAAAATTGAGTGTGTGAGGTTCATTAAGCAGTATCATACGTGTTATGTCATTCGAGTGTGTGACTCATACGACCCGAAAACGGAACCGTTCTGGCCACCGATTTTTGGGTCGATAGTTCGACCATTTGGTTTGAATGGATAGATGAACCGTTCTGACAACAAAAATTAAAAAAATAAAAAACGGCCAAAAAACAATGAACGGATTGATGGTTTGACCGCTCAGGTCAATGGGTCATTAACTAATTCAATAGTTTTTGGCCAGGGACCAGGATTGGGGTAAAATAGAACCGGTTTCCTAGACGGTTACCAATTAAAAAAATAAAAAAATGGTGGTTCGACCATCCGGTTTGATGGACGGCCTGTTCTGACAACAAAAATTACAAGCAAAAATTGAGTGTGTGAGGTCAATTAAGCAGTATCATACGTGTTATGTCATTCAAGCGTGTGACTCATACGACCCGAAAACATAACCATTCTAGCCACCGATTTTCGAGTTGACGATTCGATCGTCCGATTCGAACGAATGTCCAGTTCTAACAACAAAAATTAAAAAATAAAATAAAAATAATGGCCAAAAACCATTGAACGAGTCAATGGGTTGACGGTTTGACTCCCTGGGTCAATAGGTCGTTGATCGATTCAATGGTTTTTGTCTAGGGACTAGGATTGGGATAAAACAGAACCGGTTGCCTGGACGGTTCTCAATTAAAAAAATAAAAAAAAATGGTCAGAAACCATTGAATGGGTCAACGGGTCGACAGTTCGACCGCCTGAGTCAATGGGTCATTGATCGATTCAACGGTTTTTGGCCAAGGACTGGGATTGGAGTAAAATGGAACCGGTTGCTTGGACGGTTCCCAAGCCGAAATGTCCGTCCATCTAGGTCAACAATGGTTCGAAAACCATGGTTTCTTCTACTGTTGGCTTTATTCGAGCGTGTGCGGTATGTTCCTTTTTTTTCATTTTCTGCTTTTGTTTTTTGTTTTTTGTATTTGGTCTTCTTCTTCAAGATCCTCCAAAATAGTTTACGATTTACCACCATTTTATTTCTTCCCTTTTGTTTTTTCTTTGGGTTTTCTTGTGCAATGTTTTTTTTTTAATTTTCTTACAAGACGATTTGCTTTGTCTCTTTCTTTGATTGCATGTATGTTTAGCTCCGTTTCAAAGCGGAACTTTGAACTCAATTTTTTGATTTTTTTCTTTTGGTTTTCCAGTTTGGTGGATTTACTGCCATTTTTTTTTGTGTTTAAGGTCACTTTGGATTCATCTTTCAAGGTTTTAGAATCCCTTGCAATGTCTACCCTTCCCATGACTATGACTACAAAGTTATTTCGTCTAATTATTGACATCTAGAAAAAATGACCCAGAAATGGAACCGCTCTAGCCACCGGTTTCCAAGTTGATGGTCCGACCATCCAGTTCGAATTGATGGCCCGTTCTGACAACAAAAATTAAAAAATTAAAAAATAAAAATGGCCAAAAACCATTGAATGGGTTGACTGCCCGAGTCAATGGGTCATTGACTGATTCAACAATTTTTGGCCAGAAACCGGGTTTGGGGTAAAACAGAACCGATTACCTGGACAGTTCTCGGGCCGAAAGGTCCTACTGTCCGGG